CTTCCACACACCCACTCATGCTGGCGGGCTGATGTCACAAATAGTAACTCTCAGAGCATCATCTCTTCAGCTTTAGCTCCAACTCCTGTTCAACTCACCTGCCTTGGGAATGGGAAGAGCTTTTTAATGACACTGTTAACCACACACGCCACACACATGGAACTTGGCAAGGAGTCCTTAGAGCTGAAAGGCAAGGACAGAGTCCATTAAGGTCAAGGGATGAAGACAAACTTTTATCTCTGTCACCAATTGCTTCCGACACCTTAGAGGCAGGCACCTAAAGCTGAGATCCCTCAAGACATCTAAAGCAATGTCACCTCAGGTTACCACCTGCATATATTAAAGAAACTGAGGTACAGGAAAGATGATTTGTCAAAGAAAGGGAAGGCAAGACATCAATTCACAAATTATGTTCTCAAGAACTGCACTCCAAAATACCATCCCACAATGCCCACTCACTTATACAGAGAAAGCACTCCATTGAATGTATAACTAAAAAAGCCAGGCTGGAGAGATGGCTCAGAAGTTAAGAGCACTGGCTGCTCTTCCAGAGGACCTGAGTTCAGTTCCCAGCACCCACATGGTGGCTGACAACCATCTGTAATGAGATGTGGTGCCCTCTTCTGGCATGCAGGGATACATGCGGATAGAACACTCTACATAATAAATCTTAAGGGGAAAAAAAGGGATTACTTATCCTTGGAGCTTGGCAGTAGTTGGTGCTTAGCATGCTCAAGACTCTGAGTACACACACACACACAGACACACACACAGACACAGACACACACACACACACACACACACACACACACACACGATACATGAGCATGTCTTTTGGCACCTATGAAAACAAGTCATTGTCACTCCTCTAGGAGACCATAAAGCCTATGAATGGGACAGACCACTACTCAGAGAGAGGCTAAGCTCAGAATTTTGTAGAGGTGTGAGTGTTTACTGGAAGGTGGCTACCATCCACTGCCAAAGAAAGACTGAGAATGGGTATGGTGGCATCTCTCGTAGGATCACAGGCGAGTTTGCCAGCTCCCAGCTTTGTACTAGACTAAGGAGAGGAAACAGGATCTCAGACAACCATTTGGAGAGGACCCAAGATGCAAAGTGGCTCCTTCCACTGAAACCCAGCTAAGACCAGTGATAACCAGGAGTGTGGCTTGTCCACCTGAGCCATCTTGGTGGAGCCACCAAGATTTGCCACTGCCAGTAGAGTGCTGGTGAGCTGAGCAAGGACATTACTGAAACAGGTACCAAAGCCGCTCCTTGCTCCTCCCGGCCCTCACTCCTCAGTCTTCATGTTGGCCTTAAAGGGTCCGCAACTTCTGCTGCTTCTATTCCTTCCTCCCTCTGACTCTCAAGACCAAAATACAACTCCATTCAACTCATCTTTATTACATGGTCTCCTACAAACATAGCCTCATTCTAGTTGCAACAGTGGAAGGTAAGAATTTGACCTCTGGTGCCAGTCAGTCTAGGTTCGAAGCTCAGCACCACTTAACAGCCAAGCAAAGCTGAGCAAGTTGCTGAGCCCCACTATAGCTTCTTTGCATTCTCCATCCCTGACCCACTGGTAGGTATGTTGCAAGATACAACTTGTTACCGCTTGGAAAGTGCTTAGGTACATCTCAGCAGTATGAGGCAGGAGGGACACTCTATTAGCCTCCTCAAAATGTGCCTCTTGACTGAATGAAATGAATGGTTTGTTATTAAGTGCGTGAGCATGTCTGAAAAGAGAAACGTATGCCAGTAGTTGCAACAGCATTGACCTCACAGGAAGAAGAACACAGCTGAGGAGTGAGTTGCTGTCAGGCTAGATAACCTATATATAAATGAACAGAGAACACTGGACACGAATGGGTTTGGGGCTAATCCAGTGAGTTACAAGAGCAAAGGCTGATGGTAGGACGGGGAACATGGCCGGGCAGCACAGGTCCAGGCTCTCTCTGTAGCTGGGAATGGGGTCAAGCAAATCCTGAGAGGTCAGGAACAGAGCTGGGAAACTGCCAAGTAAAGGTAATACTAGTCTCCCCGAGAGAGCAAGGGATGAGAAAAACAACCCCCACCACACCCCTGGAGCACTCTAACCGCTCACTCCTGCAGCACATGCCCCACCTCCCAACACAGACACACACTGTCCATGGCCCCACAGAGAAGGAGAAGGCAAGGTGCTGAGCATGGGATGGAGTGCTGCCACCCTGGGGAGAAAGCGCCGCCTGGCATGCTCCAAGTCTAGGAATCTACCCCCCAGTATAGGGGGAATAAGTAGGAATTATTTTTTTTTCCAGAACCTAACAGTCTCTCTCAAGTACAAACTGCTATTTCCTCCACAGGGTCTCAAGCTGCCAAGGTTATGTATTTATCATATATATGATAAAGATAATAAACTGAGGTATATATGATAAAGATAATAAATTGGGGGCTTATGCTGAGGGTTGGTAGCATGCACCTTTAATCCCAACACTTAGGCGACAGAAGCAGAAGGATCTCTGGGAGTTCAAGGCCAGCCTGGTCTACAAAGCAAGTTCCAGGACAGCCAGGGCTGAAACACACAGAAACCCTGTCTCAAAACAAACAAACAAAAATAAAATAAAATAAATCAGGGGCTAGCAAGCTGGATCAGGAGGTAAGGGTAGTTGCAGCCAAGCCTGAAGACGAAGTTTGATCCCTGAGATCCACATGATGAAGGGAAAGAACCAACTCTGACCTCCACACAGAAGCTGTGGCATGTATGTACACACACACACAGTGACTAAAGTTTTAAGTTTATAAGTTGGATACAATATGAAGTTAGTCATATACTTGATAGTAATTAGAATGATCACGGTAACACTGTAATCAATGATAGGCATGTTCTCTCTCAGAATCTTATTGCATTGTACACATTGAGGTTAACCAACGGCAACTGAAATTGTGAAAATCGTGACCTCGGACAGGTGGACAGGTTGAAGCAATTGCTTTTAAGTCAGGGAAAACAGCTGGGTGGTGGAGGTTATGTTTGGCGTGGGTGAGACCCAGAATTACACCCATCCCCAGCACCATGAAAGAGGGGAGCATGTGTGTTATCAAAGGCTGGAACTAACTAACATCTGGACCTACTTAATCCCAAGAGCAGCTTACGAAACGGCTCAAGGCTTCCTGCCCATTGCACTTCTAGTTCACCACACTAAGGGAGGGGAGAGCACAGGGGGCCACACTTAAGCATTTCTCAGCTAACTTCCAACCGGCAGAGTGAGGTCAGCTGGGGCCAGGCCACAGCAGCTTGCCTAACTAAAGCAGAGGTGAACTCACCAAAGAGGGGCAGAGGTCAAAGTGCACTAACTGCAGCCTTTCCATGCAGAGAGAGGAAAGTCAGGCCAGAATCCCTGGCAGTTCCCTGTAGGCTGTCATATGAAACTTTTCTCTTTCTGTCATTCCTTCCGGCAGCTTCAGAGGCAGACTACAGGCTTAGGGGAAATGTGGGAGTCCAGACAGAGCGCACACACAGGCCAGGCCTGCCCTCCAGCCAGACACACAGACACTGCTGCTGGGACAGTGACCACAGGGCTACTCTGGCAGCTGCTCTGTGTGAAGTGACAGGGAAGAGCTCTGACCATCTTCCGTGGATCTTAAGCCAGGAAGAGGGAGACAAATCCCAGCAATGTGACAGGCGTAGGAGGACAGGGATGCCAGCACTCAGGAATCAGAAACAGGACTGTCACTTGAGCCAGGAGTTCAAGGCCAACCCAGGACCATGGCCAGACACCACCTCAAAAGTTGTTTTTTGTCTGTTTTTAACTCTTAGATTTATTTATGTGTTTAAGTATTTTACCTGCATGGATGTGTAAGTACCACTTACATGCCTGGTACCTGAGGAGGTCGGAGGAGGGTGTCAGATCCCCTGGAACCGATAGCAGCTGGGAAGCAAACTAAGGTCCTCTGCAATAATAATGAGTGATCTTAACCACTAAGCCATCTCCCCAGCCCTTGTTTTTTGTTTTTAAACAAAAAAGTGATCTTGTTCTATAGCTACAAAAAATAAGGCAAATCAACGTGTGCTTACAGGGGACAAAGTCCCCTTGATTCATGAAGTTGTCGTTTTCTTTCCTTTTGAAGTGTGGCCAGGGTGTGCAAAAACAGTAGTGTACTATTATTGTGTAAGAGAAAGGAAAACTTGAAGGGTGAGTGAACATATCTGATGATACCAACAGCAGTTGCCCTGGGGCAGAAAATGAGGCCTGGGAATGAACGTGTGGAAGGGACAGGCTTCTCCCCATAATTTATACCTTATGCATTGCTTTGTAAGTGTAAAACTCTAATATGTTTATGTCTTCATATACATTACGTGCATATGTACATGCAAATGTACATATGTGTGTATACATGCAAAGAGCATGGGACATTATGCAAATTCCATCTTCTCAGAACTTCATGTCCTCCTTCAGAGGCTAGCTCTCCTGCTACCTGCCCCCTTCCACCTGACCCCAGCCACCCACACCAGCCCAGCCTCCTGTCAAGCTCAGGACACCTGCTCCAGCTGCCCCAAGCACCCCTCCAGTCAGAATGTCTGTTCTACATCACACACTGGAGACCCCTGGAAGTGGATTGAGTCTGTCTAGTTTCCCCTCTCTGATACATCTGCCTGTTAACAATGAACTCCAGCCAGAGAGTGGCAGAGAAGGCTGGGACAGAGGAGGCAGGGTAAGAACACTAGGAAGGTCAGGAGGCCTGGGTCTTATTCAGCCTGTGACTCAGGACAAATGGTTTCACCTTTCTGAGTCTCAGTTTCGTTAACTGAAAAAGAAGGTGGCTGCAAGGTACCATCTGCAACTGACACTCTCTATACCCAACACCTCCCAATCCCAGGATGCACTGCTCTTCTCGGACATCGATCCCCCTCTGAAACTGGCCAGTATGTGTGGTGCCTTGAATGGCACTATTCAAATGCAACCAGCATAAGACATTTTAAACATTTTAGAAACTGCACTACAAAAAGTAGAAACAGCTGAAAATAGTTTCAATAGATTTTATTTAATCCGATATACCCAAAATATTATCATTTCAACAGTCAATCAATATAAAAATTTTTGTATTTCCATATTTTTGTTTTAGCTTTTGTTTTTACATTTTGGTGTTTGGTCTTTGAAATTGAGTGTGTATGTTTTACAGTGACAGAATGTGTCTACATAGACGAGCCACAGTTCATGCTCAAAAACCAGCTTTGGCTCCTGTACTGGTTTACCAAGAAGGCCCGCCCTTCACTTTGACCTTGCTACGCCCAGAGCTGAGGACCAGCCTACATGCTAGGAAAGGCCAAAGTAACAGCAGCAGTTTTGGTTGCAAGTTCCTCACCTGACAGGCAGGTGGTTAGGGCTGGGTACAGACAGCCCTGCAGTATTCAGGACAATAACCAGAGCCCCACAGGCTACCAGGTGGACAGTGAGGAACAGCAGGAGAGAGCAGAAAGACAAGCTGGGCACAATCAAGCTGTATGTTCAGGATTTCGTAGCATAGCGCAAGTACCCGCTTCAACCCTCTACTCATTCACCCCTCCGAGCACTGGTACATGTTCAGCTGGGCCTCAGCTCAGCCACCACTCAGGGCAGGAGAAAGTGCCAAAAGCTTCCTAAGTGCCCGTTCTGTCATGTGTGAGCCCCTGTGAGATGAGGGATGACTTAGAGGTGAGAAGGCGGAACTCTGCTCAGTAGTCACCCATACCGTAGGGCAGGGATGTGAGCCTTGCTCTGCACCTTCAAAGAGCTTCCAGCACTACCCCACCACTGGCAAGTCACCACGCAGGAAGGGCATGAGACGGGCCGGGAAGCAGAAAGAGCTATGGAAGGATGTTAGGGACCCTTGAGCAAGCCTGAAAAGCCAAGGGTCTCCTGGGACAGAGCTGCTGTAAGACCCTCTAGGATTAACAGCTAAGCCACCGTGGAGAGGCCTGAGGAGGGCCGGGCAGCCAGAATGCAGCAGCATGCCCAGGGGACAGGGTAGCACAGCAAATGAGCAGTCAGCCAAACGTCCAAACACTGGGCCTAAGTTTCTAAGAAGAATCTAGATCTCTATCCTTGTGGGCCACGGACGCCATTAAGGGTTCTTTTTTCTAGATGGATGTTCAGACTCCCATTTCAAAAACCATTCTCATAAGGTGCACGAGTCACAGATAATCCAAGAAGCTGGTGAGTGGAGTTCTAGGCCACGCTGGGCAACAAGAGTGAGACTGTCATCTCAAAAGCAAACAAGACAGGAATTACTGTCAAGTGGTCTCAGCCCTTCCTGGTTCCGTTTCTTTCCCCAGTCATCTGGGGTCTGCTTAAAGGTCATATACAAAATGACAGGGAAAGGTTGCCATGGTCCCCAAGGCTTCAGGATGCAGATGGACTTCTAAATATCTGTGAGGTTTCCTCTTCTAAAGAAAAGCTGTTGACTCACAGTTCCTTAAAATCAACCAGCAAAAAGCTAGCCGGCCCTGCGCGTTCTTATCATCCACGCTGAGGGAGATAGGGTGACAGAGGCTGAGGGCCTCCGTCCTGGTGACACCAGAATGAAATGCAATTTACTTACACAGAAACACACGAGGCGTTTGTGGTCATCAAAAGAAATACCGAGACACATCCAGTGCCTCCCCGCTGCGGTCTGTCCCTTTGGCCCCCATCGGCCCCCCCTTGGCCCAGCCCCCACGGCTCTTCCAACTCACCTGATTACCCAGTTCCATTTTCGGCTCTCAGCTCTGAGACTGGCCTACTTTTCGGGCCACACGAGCAAAGAAACTTGGGCGTTTTACAAACAACAGACCACAACTAGGACAACGGGGCACAGAGAAGGGACCTGCCGCAGTGTGCACCAAGGAGAAACAGTGAGGAGACGACTTAGCGGGACAGGCCAAAGGGTGGTGGGGCCCAGTGGGAAGACAGTGAGTTCAAGAGAGCGCTGCTTGGCCCCTGGCATACTGGAAAGCTGAGCTAAGACTGAGCGGCACCAAGCAAGATCACATTCCCCAGAGATAAGGGCGGGCAGCCTCACTTTGCTCCCAGTGGTCACCTGGGTGGGTCAGAAGCCACGGTCTGCCTGCCTAGCAAAAAGCCTCAGGCAGATGCCTCTTGCCCCACAGTGGGAGGGGGATGGTGCACTGGCTGGGAATCATGATATCTGTGGGAGGAGCATGGGAGAAGAGTCACCTCTCGTTTCAAACACTGCCCTGTGGCGCAATTCTCAGAGGTAAGTTTTTCAGACGCAAAGGCTCACAAGATGTGTGTGAGCTCCCTGACCTGGAAAGTCACCCTCTGCCTTTGTCAAGAAAATGGGATGTTTCAAGACATTTCCGGTTCCAGAACCCCTCCTTTTTTGAGGAGCTGTTGCTCCGGGCAGCCAGGCCTCTGTTCTGGATAGCTGGGCCTCAGGCACCTCTATTCCTACACACCCTTGAAGCCAGTCACGATGGAATTCCAAAGGGAGGGCTCAAAGGCAGCTCACAGGCCTTGGCCACTTTCTAGAATGAAGTGGGCCCACCACCACGCCCCCCACCTGGGGCTCAGCCACAGGACTCAACTCTGCTGCTTCTGTAGATGTGGACTGTGAGAGGTCAAGGCGGCCAGGGTAGGACCACTCAGTCACGGAGGGCCAGTGGGTAGAGCCGAGAGAGTGTGGCCTTCCGGATCCGGCGGAAGAGGTGGGCCAGCTGGTAGAGGAAGGGCAGTGAAGAAGGGGTTGCTGTGGGGAAGGAAAGACTATCATGAGTGTTCTTCCCTCAGCCCTCCATGGTGGCTGGAAAATGCATCTGGGCTTTCAGAAGCCTTCTCAACAACAAGGAATTTCTCTTTCTCTGAGATATGTGTTCTCTACTCGAATTACAATAATCTTAAATGTTCTAGAAAGAAATCCAGACTTATTACATCGCAATCTTTCTAGTATATACACAGGTGCTGGTGACTCCCAAGAGAAGCCCACACCCGTGCCTTCCAGGTGTGCCTTCCAGGTGTGCCTTCCAGGTGTGCCTTCCAGGTGTGCCTCGTGTGCTTCCTTCTGAGTACCTCTTTTTATTTTTATACTTTTTAAAATTAATTTAGTTTTCACATTCCAATCCCAGTTCCCCCTCCCTCCTCTCCTGCTTCCCCCACTGCCCCCCCAACTCCTCCCATCTGCTCCATGAAGAGGGTAAGGCCTCCCCTAGGAAGTCTACTAAGTCTGTCCCATCATCTCATTAAAGCAGGACCAAGGCACCTCTGGGCAAGGTGTCTCTCCATACAGAACGGGCTCCACTCAGTCAGTTTGTGCTTTAGTGTTAGATCTTGGACCCATTGCCAGTGGCCTCATATACTGTCCCAGGCACACCACTGTCACCTATAGTAAGGGGGAGTCCCTCTCTTTCTTAACTCCCATGCTTAGGCCTGTATTAAAATATCTGTATTGGGGCTGGAGAGATGGCTCAGGGGTTAAGAGCACTGGCTGCTCTTGCAAAGGCCTGGGCTCAGTTCCCACCATCTATATGGAGGCTCATAACCATCTGTAATACCAGTTCCAGGGGATCCAACACTTCTGGCCTCCAAGAGCACCGGGCATGCATGTGGTACACACACATACATACAGACAGACAGACAGACTCATAAACATTTTGTAAAGTCTAAAAAATGCTTATTAAGCACCAGCTCGTGAGAAAAGTAAATACAGCAGCGATGGCTGCTGCTGGGGGGGGGTCATTTTTTACCTTTCTATGCCTTCTCAGTTTGGAGCCCTATGACCGTATTACCTATGTAACCACAAATTACACTAAAAATAGGTAAAAATCTACCATTTGTTTATTTTCCTTGTTTGGGTTACATAGTTAAAAACCGAACAGGAAATATATATTTCCATCTTTGTTTTGGTTTGATTTGGGGAGGTGGTTTTATTTTGTTTGAAGCAGGGTCTTATGTAGCCCAGGCTGGCCTGGGACTTCTACATGCAAGGATAACTGGCCCTCTGATCTGTCTTTGCCCCCTAAATGCTGGGACCTCAGGGATGTGCCACCATGCCAGGTCTCATGTGGTGCTGGGAACGGAACCTAGGGCTCAGTACATACCGGACAAACATGGTATCTCAGCTCATCCCTGGTCTCCAAATAAAAAATACATACTTCTTTCTTAAACAGAAGAAATACCCCAGGTCCTTAGAAGGCTGAGGCAGGAGCTTAGCTGGAACCAGAGGTTGAGGCCAGGCTGGGCAACACAATGAGGCGCACACAGACCTGCCCCTCAAATGGGGAAAAGCGGTATTTAGAGCTAAGGAGAAGACTCAGTGGGTAAAGTACTGAACAGCCATGTGAAAGCCAGGCATGGTAGGAGCACGAGCCTGTAATCCCAGGGCAAGTTCCAAGTTTGGTGAAGAGAGACTCTCTCGGAAACTAAAGCGGAAGCTATGTATGCCATCTGCCACCAAAAATGACCTCTAGCCCTCCATACATGTCATTTTTCTTTAAAGCAACTGACCTCCTCCTTCCAAGTTCCATTTGCAGCCCACCCCCAGGTCCTCCCCTCCTGAGGACCAGGACACATTTGGGGAAGCTTTGAGTGGCCCAGGACACACCCAAGTTCAAACGGCTTTCTGTCCCACCATTTAGGAGATCAGCATTTATGACACAAAAGTGTTTAGGGGAAGTCATAAAGAATTTCTAAATTCTTATCGCATCTACAGAGTAGAAGTCAGGGACAGACATGAACCACACAGACTAGCCATCCCTTTCTTAAATGTATTTTTCCAGGCTGAGAGTCTGCTTCCCACATCAGGTGTAGTTGCTCACCTGTCTTTTTCAGGGTTTCTGGAAGTTGCAAGTGACTTTCCTGTGTAACTGTCCAGAGGGGACATTCCTGCTCACAGTCCAGCAAAGAGTTAAACAAACCCTGACTAAAGAAAAGGGGAAGAGAGGAAAACAGGGACCTAAAGTCGAAAGGTAGCAGCTTTAAAAACAGGCAAGTTGTGTGACTCTGGTCTAGTCACTTTGCCTCTCTGGTTATCGGATTTCTCAACCAAAAATGAAAGAAAATGAATGAATCAAATTAAAGATTTTCATTTCCCCTTGGATTTGAAAGTTGTGTGATTCTACCCTACACTAAATTCTTAAAAAAAAAAAAAAAAAAAAAAAAAGAGGCTAGGTCACAATTCATAGAGCAAAGGTAAGACAGAAAACCTGGCCTGGGGATGCACACCTGTAATGCCAGCATTTGGGAGGCTGAAACAAAAAAGTTAGAGGACATTCTGTACTGACAGTGGTCTTTTTCACACACCCCCAATAGTGGTCCAATGTCTGCACATCTGGGTGACCACACCTCAGGAAACAACCAGGTGTGTTCCCAAGTCTCACTTGGAAAGCTCATCTCTATGTCACAGTGAAGGAGAATAGACTCTATTTTAGGTGTCTTTTAACGATGAGGAAGGCATCCTTATCTTGCATTCTGACTAGAGGTCATCCCTCTAGTCAGAGCAGAGGCCGACTTCACTGGCAGAGCAAGAAATGTTCTATCCTAGGTTCTTTCTAGGCCTGGCCTCTCCTGCCAGGTGAGGTGGACTCCTGTTTTTTTATGGGAGAGGCTCAGAGAACAATGTCACAGGGGGTGGCTCTGTCCCAGCAACCCCTGCCCTCACAGGCCCTGCTGTAGGTGCCCTTTACTCACCTGGGTCAAACCGCAGAACCAACAGACAGAGTATCAAGGCAGCCAGGAGGCTCTTTTTGAAGGGCCGAGAGAGAAGGTGACTCACCACAGAGTCCCAAAGCTGGCGAAGCAACCTCAGCAGTGACATCAGCTTATGGGAGAATGAACCTGAGCAAGGGACACAGCATGACAGGGCGAGTCAGGTAAATCAACTTCCCCGGCTCTGAACTTTGAGCCAGATCTGAAGAGCCAACCAAAATAGGATGAGAATGATTCCCTTGCACAGCTCATGAAATAGTTCAATGGAAATGCTAAAAGCTCTAAAAACAGCATTGTTTGTTTATAGGATGAGAATGATTCCCTTGCACAGCTCATGAAATAGTTCAATGGGAATGCTGAAAGCTCTAAAAACAGCATTGTTTGTTTGGAGGTTCCATTTGGCTTCTGCCGTGATGAGGACGAATCCATGACCTTGCAGATGCTTGTGAGTGTTCTACTACTCAGCAGCACCCACAGCCGTTTTAAGGACTGCGTGAAGACACAGTCAGCGCACACGAGACCTACTCCGCTGTGTAAGCATTGTCTGAGAACAGCCCCCTTATTTTACAGCATTCCTCAATGTTACAAACTGGTGTGTAAAATAACTCAAGTCTTACTAGTGACACATTAACACAGAGAAATGAAGGGCCTTTAATATATGCAGTAAAGAATTCAAGACTGGGATTGTGGAATAAAATCGTGATTACTAGTAGCCCAAAGACAAACGGTGCCAGTCCTGACAGAAGCCCCTGGACTTGCCACAGGGGTTATGGTTGTGCTGTTGATTTCCATGTCATTTGGGAAGAGAAACAATGACCCCACCAGACTGGCCAGTGAGCAAGCCAGGGGAGCATTTTCTTGATTAATTATTGATGCATATGAGCCTATCCCACCATCCCTGGGTGGTGGTCCTGGGTTTATAAGAAAGCAAGTTGACAAACTTTGTTGATTCCCCAAGGAAGGCCTTACCCCCTCTGAGGAGCGGATGGAAGGGTGGGAAGGGTAGGAGATGGGAAGTGAGGAGAAGGAGAAATGTGGTGCACACCTTTAGTCCCAGCACTCGGGAGGCAGAGGCAGGAGGATCTCTGTGAGTTCAAGGCCAGCCTGATTGGTCTGTAGAGCAAGTTCCAGGACAAGCTCCAAAGTTGTACAGAGAAACCCTGTCTTAAAAAAAAAAAAAAAAAGGAAGAAAAAAGAAAGAAACCCATTGCTTTGTAGTGTAACCTTTAAAACTAATAAAAATAAAACATAAAAAAAAAAAAAAAAAACCAGGCTGAACAAGCCATGAGGAGCAAACCAACAAGCAGCACCCCTCCCCCCATGCCTTCCACATCAGTTCCTGCCTCCAGGTTCCTGTCTTCAGTTCCTGCCCTGACTTCCTTTAATGATGGACTATGATAGGGAAGTGTAAGTGAAATAAACCCTTTCCTCCTCAAATTGCTTTCTGTCATAGTGTTTTATCACAGCAATAACCTAACTAAGGCAAAGGTAGAAGGCCTGGCAGCCACAGGCAACTCCTGAACCAGTAACCTGCCAGCAAAGCAGGCGTACAGGCGTACAGGGCCACAGAGAAAAGTACTTTGGAGAACAGGCTTTCCTGTACATTTTAAAAAGAAGAAAATGTAAAAATTCCTAAGGCGTCCAAAGACAGAAGATACTGGAAGAAGGCAAAGCCAATTAATTTTGTTGTTGTTGTTCTTCTCTGAAATGGATATTTTGTTTCTGATGGGGGCTAAGTACATAAAAATATATTCAGTGTGGAAGTATAAAATCCAATGCAAAACTTCACAGATTCTGTTCTGAATGGCTATTCAAACTGTATAGAAGATCACTGAACAGTACAGTCTTTCAGTCTTGTTAATTTTGATGTGTGTTTTATTTTGTTGTTTTGTTTTATTTTGTTTAATTTACAATCATTTTTGTCATATCCAAATTTTTATTTAGTTTATTTATTTCACCACACAATAAAGCAATATCATAGCAAATAAAAGGGGTGCAACCTTTTCTATAACAAAGTTTATACACACACAAAACATGTACGCACGCACACACACACACACACACACTATATGTTCAGTTCCTGGTATCCACATTCGGGGGTTCACAACTGCCTACAACTCCAGCTCCAGGGAGATCTCTAGCCTCCATGGGTACCTACATTCACACACACATATCCATACACAGACACATACATAGGCACAATTTAAAATAATAAAAATAAACCTTTAAGAAGGGACAGAAGGGCCTGGTCCAGGAGGCAGGTAATGTTCTAACCTCTGGAGCAGCCACACACAGGCCAAAGGAAGGGGACTGAGAAGAGTGAGGTTTGGGGCGAGGGGCCTTAAAGTTCCTGTAACAGAACAACCCACCCCCAGCTCCACATTGCTGCCTTGTAAGAATGCTACCAGAAGACACTGGATAGCACAAGTGCATACTAATGAACCAGGCAGACCTCGGCTAAAAAACAAAACACTCTAAAGCTCCAGTTAAGTGACGGCAGATAGGTGGAGCAGAAAGACCCAAAGCTGAAGGAGGTCATTTCTATTTCATGAGTTAAGCTGTGTGTGTCTATTAGGGCCAGCATTTAAAGGAGGAGTAACAGCTCCCAGGCCAGCATGATAGAAGCAAAAAAAAAAAAAAAAAAAAAAAATCTAGTGAAAGGCTAATCAGACCCCAAAGGAAGGTGACTTTTCTTTCTTTTTGGTTTTGCTTTTTTCAAGACAGGGTTTCTCTGTGCAGCCCTGGCTGTCCTAGAACTCACTCCATAAGCCAGGCTGTCCTTGGACTCATAGAGATCCACCTGCCTCTGCCTCCCAAGTGCTGGAGTTAGAGTGTACACTACCACAATCAGCCTTTAATCCCTGCAATTTGGAGACAAATCAGGGTGAGGGGAGCCAGCGACAGCTCCCCATATGTAGACTCTCCATGCCCTCCTACTTCTAGCTTGGTTTGGAATATAACACAGGGGCTTTCCATTCTGTGACTTAAATCCTTAAGTTCCTAAACTTGGTGCAGGTGATGCCACAGGACCCCTTTGCAGAGGCCAGAGAGCCCTGATGTCCTACCTTCCTGGCTCAGCTTCTGCTGCTCCTGAGAACTCAAGCACTCCTGTGTGTCCTTTTGCCTTGCTGTGCAGATGGCCTGGAACACTGCTTCCCGCTGCGCCTCGCTGAAAGCTGCAGAACCCACTGCCAGCCCCTCAGCCTCTGACAGGCGGCCCAAGGGTAGCAGCACACGGAGCAGGTGGAGTTCTGCCAGTGATCTGTACTCAGGAAGGCCCTGGTTGTCTGGGTCTTGGAGCCAGGCATCAGCCACAGCCAGCACAGCTCCCGGCTCTTGCATTTTGCTGTATAAAAGGATGCTGTGTCCCCAAAAGAGAAGAATCAGTGCTCTACAGGTGGCTCATTTGCAAAACCACAGATTTCTGCAATCCCACCCTCCCAGGTCCTCCAGACCTTCCCTGGGGGGACATAGACACTGGTAAAAATTAAAAACTGGAAGTTTGGAGAGTTAGTGATTAATAATGCGTACTTCTCTCAAGGAGGACTGGAGTTTGATTCACAGCACTCATATTGCACAGCTCACAACTACCTGTAACTCCAGCTCTGGGATATACAAGGGCACAGGTATTCATGTGCACACATGCATGTGCATGCACACACACACAATTTTTTAAAATAATAACAAATTTGTTAAGAATTAGAGATTGTGCTGGGTGGTGGTGGCACACACCTTTAGTCCCAGCACTTGAGAGGCAGACGCAGGTGTATTTCTGTTGAGTTTGAGGCCAGCCTGGTCTACAGAGTGAGTTACAGGACAGGCTCCAAAGCTACACAGAGAAACCCTGCCTTGAAAAACCAATAATAATAACAACAACAACAATAATAATAATAATAATTACAGATTGCTAGCAAGGAATGGTGGCACAAACCTTTAATCCCAGCACTTAGGAGGCAAGGCAAGCAGATCTCTGTGAGTTCAAGGCTAGCCTGATCTACAAAATTAGTTCTAAGACAGCCAAAGCTGTTACACAAAAAAAAATTTTTTTGGAGGTTGAGGTCTTGAGAGATGGCTCAGAGGTTAAGAGCACTAGCTGTTCTTCCAAAGGACCCAGATTCAATTTTCAGCACCCACATGGAGGCTCACAACTGTCTGTAACTGCAGTTCCAGGGAATCCAACACCCTCTTCTGGCATGTGGGCATCAAGCATGCATATAGTACATACATAGGATGCATGTAGTGTATACGTACAATGTAGTGCTATGCATGTAATACATTCAGGCAAAGCACCCACACACATAATAAAACAAAAAGTAAAATATTTTTTAAAAGAGCATTAGCTGTACAATCCTGAGGATCTCAATTGGGGACCTGGCGCTCAAGTAAGAAGCCCAATGTGGTTCTACCCACATCTGTAATTCCAGCATTGAGGGGTGAGAGACAGGAGGGCCACAGGACTTGCTGGCTAACAGCCTAGCCAAGAAAGAATGTGAGTTTCAGCTTCAGGAAGAGGCCCTGTCTCAAAGGAATAAAGCAGAGAATGACGGAGGACTCCAAATACCCTTCTCTGATCTCCATGCACGCGCGCGCGCACACACATACACACACACACACACACACTGCTTATACACACACCCACATACACGAAACACACACCAAAAAAAATTATTTTAGGAATTAGAGAACTCTAAGAGGCAGCAGGAAGGTTGGTTGGCCCTGTCCTCTCATTAGCCTGCTTACTCCTAACCCATGTGCACTCTCTCTTCTTGTATCCTACTCCCAAATGCAGCCTCCCTCATCCTCGGCTGCTGTGGTTTGTGGTCTGAACAAAGTGGGGAGGAGACCCGAACCTGAAGGGAAGCTGACAGAGAAGGAGGACAGAGGAGTCATGAGACCTGACTCAAGACCCCTGACTCAAGAGAGGACTTGAGTTCCTACACTGACCCAGGGTCAGCACCAAGGGCTTACCACAGCTCCAGGACTTTGGGAGGAAGCCTTTCAGGAACCTGGTAATACTGGAGGACCCAGGACAGGACTTCTCTCCACCGATCCATTTCTGCCAGAGCCTGGATCGCCACGACACACAGGGAGCACTTCACCTCCACAACACTGTCAGCAGAAAGACACGAGTCAGGTTTAGAAGTGCTCCCCCTCACTCCGTTCCCTCTTCCACCCAGACTGGTACCCAGCTTCCAGGTGGGAAGCTACCACCCTTACCTTTTCTGCTATAGATTGGATCAGGCCTCACCACTGGTCTCTTGCGCCGCCCCCCCCCCCCCATCCCCGGCAAATGAGCCATTGCCCAATGCACATCTTTGCATCCTGTGGGAATCAGAGTTGAATGAGCTGGAAAGTAATCCTGTGGGAATGGCACACAGCAAACATACAGCCACCTGCTGTGTGTTGAAGGAGAGTTGAGTGTCAAGAGTTTGCTTAGTGACAAGTGGGCTTGGAGTGAGGTGCCTGGCTGGGTGTTCATATAGGAACTCAACTGGCCTCTTAGAACTCTCTATGTCCAGATGGCCATAAGCAAAGCCCTCAACATCCACTGTGCAACCCCTGCTCCCCCCCTCCCAAGACCACAGCCGATTTCTCCAGTTTTTGCTTCCCTGCTATCAAATTTGACTATTCATTCTGCCTACTCCCTTAGGGCTCACAGGGCCCTAAGGAAGGTAACAAACCACAGAGCAGTGGTGCCCCCAGCTGCCAGAGGAGGCCTATGCATTAGAAAGAGCAACCCAGGACAAGGATTTCCTAAAGTAATCCATCCAATCCTTCAACAGGACCAGACCACACTTCTGACTTGACCCCCTCCCCCGTTTTCCACGATCTGACATGGACCCGAGTGAACAGGGGGTGGGTCCCCAAAGGAGGCCTCCTGCTACCTGCTTACTGAACCTCTTATGACTGAACACTTAATAGACATTCACCCTGACCTCCTGCACTGAATGTATGAGCAAAGAAATGGCTGTGGCTTCCCCCTCCATGATTTGATTTCTTCTTTGTACAGTGACCCTTTCTTCCTCAGTAGCACGTGTGCAGAATGAGCAACCAGCCTCTCCCAGAGAAGATCCCCTACTGAAAGCAAGGTGTAAGGTTGGTGCAATCTGGCACTGCCAGAAATTCATCCCCAAAAGGATCAGAAAAGAACGCAGCCCCGCACGTACGTGCCACTTGTGGGCTCCTCGGCTAGGCTCTGCCAAGCCCGTTCGCAAGTCTCTAATGCGGCATGGAAGTCCAGATGCACCACCAACAGGTCGGCCGCCTCCTCCAGCAGGTGCACCGCGGGCGACACAGCCGGAAGGGCACGCGCAGGCTCGCTGCTCCGCAAAGGGCCCCCGAGCCCTTTCAAGGGGGCTGCAGAAGTCGAGGCGTCGCTTTTCATAGTCACTCTGGTCTCGGCCGGATCTCCTCACAGGTCTGGGCCTCCTGGAAATCCGGAATGGGCCCGGGAGATGAGCGGCAGGCGTCGTACTCTTACCCTCCACGCCTCTCCAGGTCAGTTCCTAGGAAAGGACCATGAAGACGCTGGACCCGAGGCACAGCCTGCGCTCACCGGTAGCCTGACTCTTGCGGGACTGGCCTGCGCCTAAGTCGAGATACTGCCAAACGCCAGGCATTCGCTCCTCTCGCTCCTCGACAAGTGCTGGAAGGATCTGAGCTCCCAGAGTTGCAAGAACCCACAGAGGTGGACACCTCCGCCTCCAATCCCCCGCCACTAGGGCGCATGCGCGCGCCCTGGGGCGCGGGACTCTGGGAGTTGTAGTCCTGGCCTCTTGATCGGCGACGCTAAAGGAAGCGTTCCCACTACAACCTCAAACCTCTGGTACCCAAGGACTGTCATCCTCCAAAGAACGCACCAGCCCCCCAGCTTTGGGTTGGAATAGATGGGGCAGCTGAACCATTAGTAATTGCCTACGTCCTGTGAAATACGATCCTGTTCTTACTAACCGGAAGTGGCCGGTCGGAAGAAATTCCAGTAAGGAGGTGGAGTTACCTGCACCTTTATTCCGAACTTCGGAAGGGGTGCCTTGAAGATGTCCACTGGGGGAGCGTAGGACAATGAAACACCGAAGCTAGCTTTTTCCCCTTCGTTAGTTTTAAAGTGTGGCACAGTGCAAAGTGTTTCCTGCGTATTCTTAGTTATTTCTCCATCTCTATGAGTTAAGGACAGTTATTACTCTATTTTTACAGTCGAGGTGGTCAAGCAATAAGTAAGTCACAAAAGCATTGTCAAACCAAAGGAAGAACTTTTTGACTGAAAGGAATGTCCGGGTGGAGATAGAACTGATCTATGCTTTGTACTCAGCAGATGAACCAACAACAAACAAGTGAGTTACATAAGCTCCTGGGACCTGCAGTGTTTACATAAAATAAAGATGTCATAAAAAGCAAAGCTATGCTTGTGTAGTGCAATTTTATAATACGGCACTGGGACCAAAGTAAGAAATGCTAAGTTACAGCTATTATATATGGTTGGTTGGCTGGTTTGTCTTTTGAGGCAGGATTTCTCTGTGTAGCCCTGGCTTTCCTGGAACTCACTTTGTAGGCATGCTGGCCTTGAACTCAGGCATCAGATTGCTACCACTTGCTATTATACACCAGTTTGCTGTTATATGACTTTACAGACATCAGGCAGGGTTTCCTAACTTTTACAAGTATTCTCAACCTTCTTGATTTACTTTCATCCAGTTCTCTAGCTTCTGAACTCTCTCCCAGGCTTTCCTAGAATCATATGCTCCCTTAGTGACTAGAGCTGACAGCTGGGCACCAAGCCAGGACTTGCTCACCTCATACATGCTTTTTTCTTTCTGCTTACACTGACACAGCAGCCTACAAGTCTCCACACAAACTCCTCCGGCAGCTGAGACAGAAATGTCAAGTCTGTCTGGCTCTGGTACTGTGACTGTGTAAGATGAAAAGGCCAGGATGTCACTTGTTAAAATACTGTTTGTTTTCCCCTAAGGACTAGAGAGATAGCTCAGCATTTAAGAGCACTTGTTCTTGTGGAAGACCTAGGTTCAAATCCCAGTATCCACATAGCCACTCACAACCATCTGTAACTCTAGTTCCATGAGATCCAATGCCCTCTTCTGACTTCCTGGGGCACCAGGCTTACACATGGTGCATATACATACATGTAGTCAAAAAATACACACAATACGATAAATAAATCTAAAACATATATTTCCTCCACATAGGCACCATGGCATACGTGTTCTAGACACTGAGGGTCCCACAGAAATCAGGGACAGAGCCTTCAGGAGCTTATATCATAACAGAAGGAAACAAACAACAAAAATAAGCAAACACTTATTAATAAACAAATGTACATGCCTGTAGACCCAGTTACTTCTGTGGAGAAATTTGAGGTCAGGAATTGGAGACCCTCCTGGGCAACACAGCAAGACCCCTGTTTCTAAATATATACATACCTGTGTACATGCATACATTTAAGCAAGTAAAACACAGTCCTTAGAGTTGTCGGGTGATAAGGACTAAGGAGGAAGAGACGGGAGATGGGGCAACCATGGAGAGGCCAGCACAATAGATGCATTTGCCTTTGTTTTCTATCAGCAAGTGCAGAGACAGGGGCGAACACACAGAAAACATGCCTTTTTGCTCTGCACTGGCCCTTGTTATTGGGGGTCAGTATTTGGAACATCACATTTGGAACCAATATATTTTCTCTGCCATTGTGAGGAGAACTTCTTCCTCGACTGACAGCATTGACTCCCCTGCAGCAAACACTAAAATAAAGCAGCGATACTTGGCTTGTGAGCTGCATAACTGAGACTGCCAAAATGTTCTGTCAGCTCTACCTCACATGAACATTAAATGATAAAGATCATTAGTAATAACATAATTGTGGGCTTGCAAAACATAACACCTCATCTGTTCCTCAAACTGAGTTGTTATTGTTGTTGTTGTTGTTTTGAATTTAATGTGGATAGGTGTTTTACTGCATGCATGACTGTGTATCACATGCATGTCCGGTGTCTGAAGAGGCCAGAAGAGGGCGTATTGGATTCCCCGATATATGGACTTACAGATGTTTGTGAACCACCAGATGAGTGTTGAAACTCAAACCTGTCCCGCGGAAGAGCAGCAAGTATTATTAACCTCTGAGCCATCTCTTCAGTCCCCCAGACTGAGTTTGAAAGTATTCCCTGCAAACTCAGAAGAGCAAGAATTGGGAGATGGCTCACTTGGTAGCTCAGCTGGTGGTTCAAGTATGAGGACCTGAACTTAGATTCTCAACAGCCATATTAAAAACAAAACGAAAAACAGGGGCAGTGACACACATTTGTAATGCAGGCATCGGAAGCGGAGTCAGGAAAATCTCTGGGACTTACTGGCTATCCAAATCAATGAGCTCCAGGTTCAGTGAGAGACTCAATCTCAAAAGATACATTGAAGAGCAACAGAGAAAAACACCCAATGTCAACCTCTTGTCTAAGAGGCCAGAACACAAATTTTGTTTTGTTTGTTTTGCTTTTTGTTTTTTGAGACAGGGTTTCTCTGTGTAGTAGCCCTGGCTGTCCTGGAACTCACTCTGTAGACCAGGCTGGCTTCAAACTCACTGAGATCCACCTGCCTCTGATTCCTGAGTGCTGGGATTATAGGTGTGTACCACCAATGCCTGGCCCCCCCAAAAAAAATTAATAAGAAAGGAAGAGAGAGAGAGAGAGAGAGAATGGAAGGAAGGAAGGAAGGAAGGAAGGAAGGAAGGAAGGAAGGAAGGAAGGAAGGAGAACACATAGGCAAATTAAGACTGCCATCAAATAAAGGCACCATTGTGTGGTTGAGGCCAGGAAAAGTCATAATACCTAACAAATTTCTCACTATTCTCAGTTTGTCCAGCAGATGGCAGAATAGCCTTTTAAAAATCTTTCTTATCAGACATAAATTTCTCTAGTTAGTGGTACAATAACCAGAATGAGGTCAAGATATTTAAAGCAGAAGTGGGATGTCCTAAAACTCATATAAAAATAAAATTGTGTCAATGTGTGCTAAATGCATGTGTTAAAACATCACAATGAAACCCATTATTTTGTATGATTAATACACATAATAAATGTTAATAAAATAAGCTAGTGCTTCATTTATTTGTTTCTCTTGATCTTCAGTTATACATTTGGGGCTTCGTAGTGGTCTCTATGTTAGCACCTAACCTTTGGCAAGCTGCCACACCACTGCTGTGACCCACTGTCCCCTTTTTCTGAGTATACCCAGTTTCTCAAATTCAGATATATAGTCATACACTGATAGCCAGTCTGTTCTACATATGAAAAAGTGAACACATATGACAGACTACACCTGGCCAGCCAGCTTTCTTCCTAACTCAGGGCCCTTGGTACAGGATGTTTGGAAAGTACCTACCTTCTTTTCATTGACTCATCCTTGAAATACTAGGAGTAGGAATCTGTACAGTTCTCCCAGTCAAAAAGGCCTGGCCGGAGTTAGTATCTGTATCGAAGGGATTGTCTCACTGAGGGAAAATCAGCAGCGTGAATGAGACACCTGTCTCCTCGTTACATCCCAACTCCTAGTGCCTGCCTGTGATGCCGTGCTCCTCCTTCTGTGTGACACCCTCAGGACTCAGCTCAGCACATGCAGGAGTCAACAGAATGGTACCCTGCTGTGCAGAAGAAAAGCAAGACACTGGTTCCATTGGTTCTGTCTGCAACAAAGCTGGCCAACCTCCATGTAACTATCCAACTTCCCTGTGCTTCTGTCTTCTCTGAGGACGTGGGCACTAGCATGTACCACATACAGCAGCTGTGAGCATCAGGACATTGCAATACCACTGACCCTCCAAATCTGCGGCATCCTTCAGGCTAATAACCAGTGTCACATATTCAGGCACAAGTAAGGAACAGAAACTGTTCTTCACCTCCAGGCTCTGGAATCCTTGTGATCTTACTTTTAGGAACAAGCTGTGCTTGAGCTTGCTACATAGCAAAGGACGATCGTGAACTTCTCCTGAGTGCTAGGATTATAGGCATATGTCACTACACCCAGTTTACATGGTAGTAGGGATTGGACTCAGGGCTTCATGCACACTAGGAAAGCTGTCTGTGTACACTGAGACACATCCTAGACGCTTCTGTGCAAAGTCAGAAACTTTCACATCTCTGCTCAGTCTGGCCTATCACTCCAAGCCAGTCCAGCTGCTCTCTCAAACCTGTTCCAGCCACCATTGGTCCTCAGTACAGGTTATGGGTACCAACGCTCCACAGGCAATGGATCCCACTGTGTGTGGACCTTTGGTCTGGTGAAAGTCAAAGAGGTAAGTAAGAGCAGGGGGGGAGAGAAGGCTTTCCCAAGACTCCGAGGGTGTGCCTTCCTGCTCTAGACCTTCCAGGCATTTATGTGGCTCTTAGACAAAGCTGAGACTCAAGGCACAGAGAACTCGGTGCTCCTGTTTCCTCCTCCCCAGTTAGATGCAGTGGGAATTCAACTTCTATGCCTAGAGAGTGATCACCATGGTTGTAATCCTCCTGCAGCAGACATGGATATAACGATGTCTCAGTGGCATCTTCACTGACTCTATGCTGAAGGCATGACTCATCTTCATCATCAGCATTATGACTTGGGCATTCGGGCCCCAGAGTCTCCTTCTTACCGAGGATGTAACATCGGCTCTTCAAAACCCATGATGCTTGTCTCATTTGCACTTGGCAGCAGCCATGTAAGGCAAAGAGCATTG